AAACATTCTGGTGAAAGTATCTAGATTAAATATCTTCCAAATAGCTAACATTTATTAAATAATTTGTCTTCTCAATTAGTTTGTGAATAATGTGTTATGTTATATTAAATTAATTACTGATATTAGGATTGGTTCCTCAGCTATGTTATTTACTATTTGAGAAACTGAGTTATCAAAAAGATATGATTTAAATATATTTAACAAGATTCACTTACACTAATGTTTATATTTTCCATAGGGCCTATCACTTTACACATTGTAAAGGTTCAATAAATAGTTATATGTTTACTAAGTGAATACTTAAATTAAATCTCCTATGCCTAATTCACAAAGAATTTCCTCAGCATGTTAAAAGGTCACATTCTTCAAGGTGAAACATGAAGTAATATTGAAATTAGAGAAGGGGCTGATGTTGGCCAAATGCCAAGTCTAAACATTCCATGTGAATTCAATTAGAATAATTTAGATTTTGTGATGACTTCATCCTCCAGAGGCCATGTGATCATGAGAAAATGCTGAAAGAGAAACTTTTTGTGCTGGACTCATTGACTTACTGAGATTCAGAAGAGCCTGTAGCTGTGAAATGATGTATGACTCAGTCCAAATACCACAGTGGCTCAACAGATGAACTACATCAATTTGAAATGTTGTCTTTACAATAGCTCAGATACCTCTGTTGGGAAGACCCAACCGTGGGCCTTTAAAATCACTACGCATTTGAAACAATAGCACATAATTCTTATTAAACGTTCATTTAGTTTCCTAAGTGCATAAAAGTTTAAACATCTTCAACTTTTATTTAAACAAAGGTTATAAACATGTGTCCCTTTGTGAACACCTGAGTGAATGTCAGCCCTGTAGCTGTATATAAAACTGAACAATGATGACATCAGACCGAAGGGTTCAGAATAACTTTGTCCAAGAAGAAGACATAGAACTAGGTTGCCATGAAAGATGCTTGGGTCACAGGTTTCTGTATACAGATAAGCTGACTGCATCTGTTACTCTGAGGAGAGAAGCGAATGGTTACCGGAAGAGAAAAGTTAAGCATTCAGCAAACCAACGGCATTTTTATTGCTTTTTTTGCATATCATGCAAGTCTGGTGATAATTTTTACATATTTACACATTACAAAATTAAATTAACTTTAATTAGTGATTTTTAAAACCCATAAGTGATTAATAAATTCTAGTTTGTTTTGTTCATGATTTTCCTTTTGATTTTAACAATTCCCCAACACGGTAGTTTCATGTGTGATATGTGTATGAAGACATTTAAACGTAAATGTGCGTTTATAATCTATTTTACAGCATCTTTAGGTTCACACCACAATTAAAAACACCTACAAAGAACTTCTTTATGAACTGGCTTTCACATGTGTGCGGCTTCCACTGTGACCAACCCCACACCATGTGTGTGATGTGAGCGATACCATACGCCACCTGCAGATCACAGTTTATATTGGGTTTTACTCTTTCTTTTCTATATTCTGTGGGTTGGGACTGATGGGGAATAGCATTTGTCTACCGTTGTCCAGGCCATGTGCAGGACACTTTCACTGCAGTAAAAACCCTCTGCTCTTGCTGTTAATCTTTGTATTCCAAATAACTTCTGCCGACCACTGATTTTCATACTGTCTCCATTGATTCTCCTTTTCCATAATGCCATGTATTTAGAATCATATATACAGAGCTTTTGCAAATTGGCTTCATTCATGTTAACAATATGTGCTTAAGCTTCTCCATGTCTGTTTTGGTTGAATAATATACTTTGTCCATTGTCAGGATACATTAAATTTTACTTATCTACTAAGTGACTAGAAAACATCTTTTTAAAATTTAATGAATTTAATCTTTGACAATGTCATATATGTATAAAGAGCTGATTGCTATAATCCTCTGATCCTTGCATCTCTCTCCTGCTTTCTTGCCCATAGTCATATTTTGTTTGCTTCTTTTTTTTCTTTTATTTCCTTTGTTTGAAACCCCTAAATTTAGCTAGGATCATCTTGTCACCTTGGGTTGAAAACTATCCACTGGAGTCCAGTGAGCTTTTCAATAGGTTCACAACTAGAGACAATGACTGTCCCCAGGTACCCAGCAGAGGTAGTACCTATGAGGCTCTCCCCAATGTATGATTGACTGTTGATGGCCCAGTCTTGTGTATGCTCACTGCAAGCAGGCTCATATGCTGTCAGCTCATTACTACACTGATTGTATTGTGTTGAGAAGGCAGCATTTCACAACCTTTGAAGGACATCTTGAATGCTTACAAGTTTGAAAAATTATGATTAAAGGTGGTGTAAAAATCTATGTGCTGGTTCTGTGTAGACATAGCTTTTGGCTCCTTTGCAAAATTAACATCAAATATGATTACGGGTTCATTTATTTCATAAGAAATGCCAGCTGTCTTTAATAAGTAATCATGACATACTGTGGTCTCAACAGCAATGAATGATAGTAGCTCCTGTTGCTTCACATCATTACCAGCTTTTGGTGCTGGAAGTGTTAGGTATTTTAGCCATCATAATAGAAATGTCATTATGTATCATTTTCATTTGCAATTCTGGTAGTTATTTTTAATGTCATCCTTATAAAAATGAATAAACTGAGGCATAGGGAAAATAAATAACTTGCCCATGACTCACCAGCTTCTAAGTAGCAGGTTCAAATTAGATTTTTTTTTATAGCCCAAAGTTTTTGTAATTCTTTTCTTGTGGTTGCTTTATAGACAGACAAGAATAGAATTCAAATTTTTGCATTCAGGACACCAAAGGTTAGTCATAATTAGGCTCATCACTGATGTTATTTTAGTTCCCCCTGAGACAAGGAAATACCAGGGTACAGTGGGTAAATGAGGGAGACAACTAACTGACATGTGTGGATCTACTACAGTTTATTGCCATGGGGGAGTTTATGGGAAATGTACTCAGTGTTGTTTGAATTGGGATGTGATGTATGTTCCTTCTACTGTTTCAGAATGGCCTGAAAGACCAACTTCCTTGTTCAGGAAGAACAGATAGAGACTGAAAGTCTTCAGAAATGTATATGGCAATTTGACATTTTAGTGACTTCCATTATTCTAAAAATTCATTTTATTTTATTAACATGGAAAATTATTTTTGAAAATTATTACAAAAAATCTATAGAACACAAGGTCCCAAGTAATTTCATTCATGGATGAGGGAGCTGAAGCATTTATACCTTGTTTCCCATTTGCAGTTAAGACAGTATTTATTCACCGGCATTTCAAGCTATATGGTTAGCCAGGTCAGACAAGAGGCTATCCTGATAGCACCTGATATAGGCATGAGTCAATACAGGATTTCCCAAAATTTAGAGGTGAATTTAAACATCTTCACATTTACTAGAATTTCTATAAAATGAATTGGAAGCTAAGTAAGCATCGGTTTGCTGAATGTTTAAAAGAAAATAGAAAGCTGAAATAAGACTGTGCACAGATAAAATATTCCAAAAAAACTTACATTTTTCACAGAGGAAGCCAAAGGCAAGAACTCCCCCTCTTCCTCTTCACCCCCAGTGTTCCAGTGCAATGACAAATGACAGAAGTTCTGAAAGTTAGATATTTGGTTCTGAATCTTCAGCAAGTGGTTTACAGATGATTAGGTGATTCAAACTCTTTTGAGTTACAGACTTCTGGGTGTGGTGAATGAAAATGGCCCCCATAGGCTCATGTAGAGGGCTCTATTGTTGGCCTAGTTGAAGGAAGTGCATCACTGGGAGTGGGCTTTAAGGTTTCAGATTCTTAAACCAGGCCCAGTGGCTCACTCTCTCTTCCTGCTGCTTTCAGATGTATACCTTTCTGCTACCTTTTCAGCACCATGTCTACCAGTATGCCATCATGCTTCCTGCTATAATGACAATGTATTAAACCTCTGAACTGTAAACCAGAACCAATTAAATGTTTTCCCTTATAAGAGTTGCCATGGTCATAGAGTCTCTACAGAGCAGTAGAAACCCTAATTAAGACACTAGTCCAATGTCTCCTTTGTTCTGTGGCCTTATTTAACTCTGGTCTTCAAGCCTGATGCTAATTCTGTGAGCTCCCAACTTCCTCCCATTAAAAATAATAAAAACTTATAACATTCACAATATTATTCTATTACTTGAAACCAAAACTCTTCAGTGATATGTGGTGGTTCAAGGAAATCAGAGTTCTGGTTCATGCATGTCCAAGAATTCCCTTAAAGAAATGAAGCTGTTCTCTTTGCCTTTTTGGTTCTCAATTTACACATTTATTCAAAGAGAACAACTGAGCAGTGTGCACTAAAAGATGGTCCCATGAGAAAGAGTTTTTCGAAACCAAGTGTATGTTGGTCTACTCCAGTTCCTGGGAATTCCTCTAGGGAAGAATTTAACTTTTAATTCAGCGTTTTCTACACTTAATCATGGAATCTTGTTTCAGAAAATATCAGAAGCCCATAGCCTTAATAACCCATCATCTACCTTCATAAGAAACATTGGTTCCACTCTGCACACACACCTTTTTAAAATTGCCCCCTTCAGCCTTTGTTTCTAAGCATTGGTGACGACCTTAAGAAGTCCTTATTTAGCCATTATCAAGGGGCTTCAATAATCATGAAACTAGACTTTTTCTTAGGTCTTACAGGGAGTTTGCTGGGCTGTATACAGAACCTATTAATTAAAAATTTCCTGGAACTAAGAAAGAATCAGAGTCTGTGAATACTCTATGATGATTATGTGCTCGGTAGTCTCCAGTCCACCACATAGTCTATAGAGGAGTACTTTGAAATGCTTATGTGCTTCATCAAAAGAAGCAGCTAGACATTATTATCATCATCAGAAGAGTCCAATTTTCAGATCATTTCTTATCTCTTAACTGTATATGAGCATACATTGAAAAGCTACCCAGCAGCTCTAGCCTCAACTTCAAAAGACATAACATGGAAGTGTTAATATGGCTGTGGATGCCAGTATAAGATCAATCATTTGAGAAAAATCAGTTTCAAGTTTACGTACTCAGGAAAAGTCTCGATGTGCCTGTCAGCTGTGTCTGTGGCTCCTCCTACCCACACATCTTGCTCAGTCTCGCCATAAGCTGCATTAAGGTTGAAGGAGCAGGGTAGAAGTGTAGGTCATCTGACTGTATGACTTATTAACAACGTGAAGAGTCTAGTGATTCAAAGTCTGGAATGAAGAGATAAAATGTTATTTTAGACTATCTATGAATTTCATTTGCTCTCATTACCACAAATGATGAAAAATTAGCTGTCAGAAATTTCAAAGCAAGACTGAAGAACATGATAGAAAACAGGAATTAGTCATCATTTTGAACATTTTTCTCTGTTAAAATTTTCAGGTAACATAATGGAGTATCATGTCCATTTTTTATAAGAGAAAGTGTAAGTTGTGTGGCCAGTAACATTCATTAAATACAAGTAAACTTTTTGTTTCTAGGTTGCTTGTTACATTTATTATAAGAAATCCCAAAGATGAGCTGCAGAATTTCAGTACTTAATTATCTTCATAGCCAAAAATGTTCAAATAACTTCCTCATAAATAACCTGTAGGCTCACAGTCTAATGTCTAGCATATTATTTTATTTTATTTTCATAACCAGAGTTAGAGCCTCTCCCCAACTGGGAAGTAGTGCCTATTCAGTAACTAGAAAAAGGGGCTTTGGGGAGTTTGGGCTGTGCATATGTGTGGTGCCTGTGTGGCATATGTACTTGTGTGGTAGTTGTTGATTTTTGTCAACTTGACACAATCTAGATGCACCTGAGAAAGGACTCAAAATGAGGACTTGTCTAGACTGGGTTTGCCTGTGAGGTGCTTGTGAGGGATTCTCTTAATTGGGTTTGTTGGTGTGGGAAGACTCTCCCTGAAGAGGGCCAGCATCATTGCACGTTCTTGCTCTGGGCTGAGAGAAAAGAAGATGGCCCACTGAGTACTCATGCCTGTCCCGGATGATTTACTGTTTCAACTTTCTGCCAGCTTGACTTCCCTTGAAATGATGGGCTATCACCTGGAATTGAGAACACAGCAAACCTTTTTTTAGGTTGAGCTCGTGAGACTATGTATCAACAACTGAAAAGAAAACTGAGACAGGGTGTTAGAGCGGGTATAAGCACACATACCTTGGCGTATATGTGAGTGCATCCTGTGGACAGTGGGTGGAAGCTGACATTGAACAGATGCTTTTCTCAGTTTTTCTCCATCTTTAGTTTTTTAAGACATTGTCTTTCATTCAAGCTGGACTTATGGATTCAGCTAGACTGGCTGGCCAATGAGCTGTGGGAATCCAACTCATCCTCCTCTTCCTAAAGCTGGAGGAAGGAACTCCCATAGCAGGCTTTTTATGTAAGTTCTGGAGATCCACATTCAGGACCTCATGATTGTGTGACATGGACTTTGCCAACTTCACAGTCTGCCCCAAACCTGGCATTTACTTCCATGGACTTTATGGCCAAAAATGACTTTCTTCTGAATGACTTCCAAACTTTCCCAAACAGATTTGTTTCATTGTTTTCATCTTTCCACACAGTTGGTTTGGGTTCATATGTAAAGTATATTAATGCCTAACAATATAAAGGTATATAGCTCAGCAGTTTCATAATGTTATATCCATTGTATAAGCATTGTATAAGCATCTGTCTCATTTAATAGTATAATTGCCATTTCTGATCTAGTATCACCAGGGAAGAATAATATTCCAGCTATACCACTCCTAGGCATATATCCAAAATATGCTCAAGTACACAATAAGGACATTTGCTCAACCATGTTTGTAGCAGCTTTATTTGTAATAGCCAGAAGCTGGAAACGACCCAGATGCCCCTCTGGAAACAGCCCAGATGCCCCTCAACTGAGGAGAGGATACAGAAATGATGGTATGTCTACACAATGGAATATTACTCAGGGATAAAAAACAGGGAAATCATGAAATTTGCAGGTAAATGATGGGAACTTGAAAAGATCATCCTCAGTGAGCTGTCCCAAAAGCAGAAAGACACACAGGGTATATACTCACTCATAAGTGGATATTAGACATATAATATAGGATAAACCTACTAAAATCTGTACACCTAAAGAAACTAATCAAGGAGGAGGACTCTGGCTAAATGCTCAATCCACATCCAGAAAAGCAAAGAGGATAGACATCAGAAGAAGGAGAAAACAGGGAACAAGTCAGGAGCCTGCCACAGAGGGCCTCTGAAAGGCTCTACCCTGCAGGGTATCAAAGCATATGCTGAGACTTATGGTCCTTTAGCTTCTTAAATGGTCCTCCTTCACAGACCTAGGGCACTTTTTGACTAGGTTCCTGGCCTTACTGTCAACCCAAAGTGCAGTCCACACCTGAAGAAAGGGGAGTTTTCGACGCTGTGGTTTATTAACTAGGTACTTTCCATTCACTGTTAACGATTAGAAAACAAAAATTTTTAAAGGGAGGAGCCTCCTGCTTGTTTTCTTTATTCCAAATAAGAAGCCGGAAACAAATAAGGAGGGGAAATCCCCTAGAGCTCACCTTGACTTGGCTGGACTAGTCTGATGCTCGTAAAAAGTGCTCTGTCAGCCACTAAAAAAAAAAAAAAAAAAAAGTCAAACTTCAAGACATAGAAATTACTTCTGCTCCAGAGGAAAGTGGGAGCTAAGGTCGCCCAGCATTCAATGGGAAAGGGTGCTCTTTCCCAAACCTAGAGAACTGTGTTCCTTGCTTCTGCTTAAGGCAGCAGCATTGACAGGACCTGAACAAAGGCAGCGCTGCTTCCTTGGCTGTCCAGCTTAGCAGTGCTTCAGCAGTGCACGAGGGCAAGCACAAAGGCCTCCCATCGCCTCTCTTAGCTTCTCATTCACTCTGCTGCTGCCATCTGTAACTTCTTCTTCGTTCCGTTTACCAGGACGGTGGCCTTTAAGGTTAACCAACAAAAGGCCACAGAACCACCAACAGACCCCGGGGAAAGCTAGGCTGTCCCTTTCAGGGCTGAGAGAGTCCACAAAAGGAACAGCAAAATATCTCTGACAGTAAAATTGGTCTCCTCTAAATCTCCAAAAGCTGGAGAGACATGGGACAAATTTAGGATGAAAGGAAAGTGGGCAGAGAACACTCCAAAAGCAGAGTGCTGGGGGTGGGGAGAGGCCCTGAACTCCCCTTTGTATGCAGCGGCTGGGGCCGGTGAGAATTTCTGAACAAAGGAGCACGCAGCGCGAGGGTGAAGTATCGGGGTGCAAGTTGCCCCTCGAGCTGAGCGGAGTCTCCCATACACCCGTTATGCGAGCCTTGGGGCTCAGGATTCTGGGAAATGAGGGAAAAGAGAACTCAGCGTGGGATTCCTGTTGTACCACTATGCACTAGGAATTCTTGAGAACGATGGGAATGGCAGCTATCAGATTCGAGGGGGAGAAAAAGAGCTGGAGTGAGCAAAACAAAGAGCGAGTGTGGGAGTGTGGGCCGCGGTGACTTCATGCCTCACCAATGTCCCGCCCACGCTGCTACTCCAAGCTGTAGCTGTTTGCTGCGGCGGCGGCGGCGGCTGCTGCTCTGGGCTGCCTCTGCTTGCTGGCGACCTGAGCAAAGGGCAATGTAGCGTGGGGAGGTTTCCTAGCAACTCGCAGCTCGGAGCACGCCCAGTCACCCGAAAGCTGGGAGACCCCCTGCTGGGGGACATCCCACAGAACTAGAGCACCTCATTCCTGCCCATCGCCTGCCTGGCTTCCCTCTCACCGTCTCCGGGTACAGCCCAAAGCCTATCAGCTACCGGGGTTCTGGGTGGCCAGACGCCTGAGCCGACTGGGTCTGAAAGGACAAGGGTACGCAGCTCCCTCCCGGCAAAGGCACGTGGAACGTCCCTTCCCAGCGCAGCGGGCAGCAGCGATGCCGAGTACCCTGCCAGTGGGCACAGCCGGGGGTTTCTAGTGGGTTCGCGGAGCCTCTCCCTGCGGCTGGCACCCTAGTCTCCTCTCCCGCCAATCGGGACGCTGCCGCCTCGACCCTGGCTCGGTGTGCTAAGTGGAGTTGGCTTCCCGGTCCACCTGTGGAAGAAGCTCGCACCGACTGATGCGCCAGCGACTCCCCCACCTCCTTGGCCTTCCAGCCGTCCCCTCCCACTAATGCAGCACCACCCTGTGAATTACATTAGGGTGGTTTTTCCCCCAGCCTCGGGCTTTGTTTGGGTTTGATTGTGTTTGGCTGTTCGCTAAGCTGATTTATGCAGCAGAGCCCCATCGGCTGGAGAGAAACAAAAGCTCTTTTCTTTGTCCCGGAGAGGACTGTGCAGCCCTTACTCGCTTCACTGCCGCGAACCATCGGCTGTCCAAGGAGGTGCTTTTGGTTGAGACTGGGAGCCCGGCTGTGCGGAGCTGGAGGGCCTCGGGGGCCCTGAGATGCAGAGAGCTGCCCTGGCCGGTGTACCTGTATCGCCTGCTCAGAGCCTCTGGGTCGGTCAGCCCGGCCTGCGAAAAAGGTCCTAGAGATTCTCTGCCCGCGGGCCCAAAGGTGCGCCCCCACGTCGCGAGCGCTAGTCTGGAAGGCGACTAGGCGGCAGGCGCGGGGCGGGCTGCTTTGCATTATGTGCGTCTCGGCCCTGGCTTTTCTGACTGCTCCACTGTTCTCCCTGCACAACTGCCAGCGAGGTCCTGCCTTGGTTCTCGGGGCGGCCTGGGTGTTTTCACTTGTTCTCGGACTGAGCCAAAGTGGTAAGTTATTTTGCTTTGTTTTCTAACCTTCCCCCAAAGTCTTGGGCTGGCATGGAGAGGTTCTGGCCTGGGCAGCCCTGACAGGTAAGTGATGGATATCAGTCCTGGTCAGTCCTGAGTCTTCAGGAGTGCTGGTGTGTGGCAAAGTCCTCCATAAAGAAACCAGGTGTCAAGCATTTCCGCTCCGAAGTGACAGCAATAGTCCAAAGTTCTGGGAAAGCAGCTTTTTAAATTTGGGAATGAGACTATTTTGTACTTCCAGAATCCAATTTAGGGGTTCCAGCATTTCCTGAGGCGTTCACTGTATAGTGTGTTCCCCATCTGGGTGTAGCAGGCGGGGGGAGCATCATCCACTAACAACTTTTGGATCAAGACTGAGGCTAAGATGGTTTATAATGGGACAGAGTCTTCCATTTACTGGTCTATGAAAGAACAACATACAAAGTTTCTTCCCCCATAACATTCAGCCTGAATGAATTAAATGCCCTTGAGGAGTATCCGTTCATGGTTTAAGCCACTGGTGGGGGCACAATGGGGTAGAACACTTTTGTTGCTACATTTTGGTAGCTAATTGATCCCTCCCCTAAATTCAGCCTCTGATGCCGAGAGGTCGCCTCTCTATAAACTTTACTATCTTCATCTGTGAAACGGATAAAGATGCCTACCTTTCTTAAGTCACAAAGGACAGCTCTCCTCGAACAGTGCATAAGAAGGGGCTTGGGACTTTAACATGGTAGCATTGTATTCTTGGTGAGTCATGAAACAAAGTAAGCAATAATGACAATTCCCAATCTAAGGACCAAATTTACCATAGCAGTCAAATATTCTTACAAATGGAGTCACCATTGCCATACTTTAATTTTGATTTAAAGATTTTATTAGAGAATTACTGTAGCTTCTAAACCTGGAAGGAGTTTTAATTAATAACCACACTTCTGTTGTAAAACTAAAATTTACTCCTGTACTTTGAATTGATGTGCCGGCTTTCTGCCTGAAGTTAGCTAAAGCAAACGCTTATAAATTGTAAAAAAATATAATGGAAAAATCCAGATAACTTCGTTTAATTCTTGCATAAATAGTTATCTAATATTTGCTTTGGGAGAAGTTTGTCTTCTTATATGAAACAGGACAAATTAGAATCAATTTTTATCTTGTGGTTATTTTGATACTTTGAGATTTCAAAATAAGTGAAACTTAATGCAAAGGAAAGAGTCACACTTATTATCAACTGTCTTTTGAATGGAACATGTGTTTGCCACAGCAGATTTTCCACTGAGCATAATTCCATCCTATGTCAGTAAGTAGTGAAGTGTTTTCCTAGATTTAGTAAACATTCACACCAGTAAAATGACCAAAACTTATGTCAACAGAATATATTTTGTTCCAAAGAAAGTCTCACTCACCTTTAACATTTGCTAATAACAGGTTTTTAAAAGTTCATTGTGCTTGTAAAGATAAGTCAAGTTCCTGTGTAACAGCACGATTATTTCCACCCAGTGACGATTGAAGCAAGTATTATGAATGGGCTGCCTTGCACCTGCTGACCTGAACAGTGAATGCTTATCTGAAATCAAGACAAGGCACCTTACCCAGTCTCTCTCAATACAAAGGCTTCTGATAGATACTGAGTTTCATGGTAGTTAAAAACATGAAAAAAATTAAATTATAGCCAGAACTACTCAGCAAATTAGAGATCGATGTAAACAGCTGTACTTTGTGACACAGCTACAGTCTTAGATTACAGGTCTCCACTGTGCAAACTGGATGCTTAAAGCAGAGTAGAAATTTAGGTATCAGTTACAAAGGAAATCTTGTCTCCATGCCCAGTGGTTTACACCAAGAAAATATCGAGGGCAATAAAGCCATACCAAGAAGAGCATAGCTACACAAGAAGCACATCACTTTGGCTTTAATTTTAAAGATACGGTTTACACAAATGCATATTAGACTTATAGTAATGTGAACAGAAGGAGCTGAGGGTGGCTGAATACAGTAGGCAGAGCATGTTACAAATGAGATGCAAAGATTTCTGATGTAGAAAACATTACTCCAGTTTTTTTTTTTTTTTTTTTTAACTTTCCTTCACAGAAACTAATGAGGACTGGAGACAATTGAAGTCATTAACACCAACACTAAAAAAACTGGTTATTAATAGTTAAAAAAGTTAATATTTGAAGAGTTATTGTAGTAACATTTTTCGTCTTCTGTTTATTCAGCTACCAGGTGCTTTTTACAATCAGCCCACAGAGCAAACATTGCTTTGTGCTGGCAGTGTGACCCTCCCTCAAATAGCTTTCATCATATCAAGTATTCCGACTGTTTCCAGGTCTGGGGTGTGCATGTGGTGTGTGGGTGCACATACATGTGGGTATGAATGAATGTGGAAGCCGGTATTTGGTACAGGAATCCTCTCTCAGTCAAACCCAGAATTCACGGATGTGGCTAGTCTCGCTAGCCAGCTTACTTGTAAGGGTTAGAATTACAAGCAGTTAATATGCCAACTGGACATTTGTACATGGACTTCTGGGACTTCTGCAGACATACTAAGCACTAAATAATCTCACTAGCCCCCCCCCCCAAATTCTTTAGCTGATTTGGAGCAATAAGATATTTCAGAGATAAGAGACTTCATTCCGGAAATTGCAGTCTTCTATGCCACTTTCATATGATGTGTACATATTGCTGCTATCTTTAGGCAACAGAGACATTTTGGGGTAAAAAGTAGTTGATGTGATTTCAAAAATGTCCATTCTCTTCTGAGTGCTTTGAAAGAGCCCCCGTGCTTGTCTTCAGTGTTTCATCTCACCGTACTGAGTCCTTGTGGGAAGGCTTCATTCATCATGTTAAGGTTCTGCTCAGTTCAGATCTGCTAACTGCCCAGTTGTCAAACCTCATAGTATCCCCTACTAAACCCACTATCAATTAGGAATTTGTCTCTGTCCACCTGACAGCTTCTTAGATCTATAATCTCCTGTCCTAACCTCTTTCTCCATCTCTAATTCTGACTCTTATTCATCTTATGAACTCCAATAGCAGCAAGTGCCTCTAGAATTCTGTCCTCATTTCTCTTCCTTATCAATACAGAGATCCAAGTGAATTGATTCACCCTTGGGGTTTAAAACTGTTTCTATTATGACATGATGCAGATGTCTATCTCCAGTCTTGACCTCTTATTGGATCTTCAGAGGAGACAGCAAACTGCCTATTCATCATCCTTATAGTCTATTGAAAGACAAAATTGAGTCCTATATATTCAAAACCAAATGCCTAATTTTCTCCCCCAAATTTGACCTTTTCACATTCTGCCAACTCAGTCAGTGGTGAATCAGACTCTAATTTACAACTTGCAAGTTGTGCATCCTTGATTGTTTATTTTTGTCACATTGCACAGTCCATTGCAACCTCTTCTGCCATTACTGTGGTCCATATGACATTTTCTGGCCTCATCCATTGAGAGCCTATCATATCTTCCTTTCTTCACAGTGTGCCACACCTCTGTGTAAAGATGCACAACAGCTGTTGTCACTCCTCCAATCGGAATGCCTCCTAGTTTTCATGTGTCTTGAATTGAAGACCATGTTTTAGTATGGCTTCAAAACCCTACAAGAGTTACAGCACTGACCATCTTCCTGTTCTTTCTGATTTTGTTCTAGCAACACTGATCTTTTTGTTAATAGAAGCACAATGCGTGGTCCTACTCCTTTGCTCTATGCCCAGTCCCTGGCATATTCCTGCCCGAGCTGGTTAATGGCCCTCTCACCTTTTTTCTTCTCGGTGTTTAGCAAACATCACCCTATCAGAGAGAGCATCTCTGTGTGCCCTATAGACCCATTCTGCATCTTTTACTTTCCAAGTCTTCAGAGGTCTTTGTTTGTTGTTCTTTTCTTTTCAGTCCCACAACTAGACTACTGCTCATGATGGGGAGCATTTTGTTCTTTTTCTGAAAACGCCAGCCTTATTTTTAAAAATCGAAAAAAAAAAAAAAACCTTCATACACTTGCAGAAGAGTCAAAGAAGTGAACTAGAAATATGCTGCTTCTAGAGTGAGTCTTCAGTTGAGTCCCTGTTTGTTTCAAGGCAATTCTGATGTGTTTTCATTTTTACCATTGTGACAAATGGGTATATGTCAACCCAAATCCTAATATATTTAATAGAAAACAGTGATCTTCTAGAGAAAAGGTCTTTCCACAGTTGTAAAATGGGAAGATAAGCTGTCCTAGGCCACACAGTCTGCTGATTGAGGGAGGGGCCACTCTGATTTAATAAAAGCTGATTCACTCCTATAGCCTGGCTTTTTGTTTTGGAGAACTATGAAATCCATAGGCTCTGTTCAGATAGTAAAGCCATGTGGAGATTCTTATAAGTAAGGACAACTGACCAGGGAGCAGAATTTTTTAGAATACATTTGCCAACTGATCACTTTTAAATGTATGTTTACATTTCAAAGATATATTATTTACTTGTGAATACATATGCCTGCCAAGCTAATTATGTCTTTATTATAAACTGAAAGACAAATTAGTTGCCATAAAAATAAGCCAAGAACAGTCAACAGATACAGTTCATGAAAGAAAGGGAAACTTTTAAATAGGATTAGGATAGGCAATCAAGTATGACAGTTTCTCCTTCACCTGAGTATGTATGAGAGTTTAGAAATATCATGATATAAAACACTATATTGACTTTCCAATTTTTATATACTATTTTAAATAAAACTTTCTTGCAGAAAACACAGCATATGAGATAATCTGGTCTTTGTACTAACAGACTTTTGGACTTCTGGTTGAATCTGATATAGATAGGTATAAATAGTCTGGTTTTAAATTCCTTACTTTGCTCACAGACAGGCTCCCTCAGATGCTTTTATGGACCACTGATGTGGAAGTTTCTAAGATTTTTAAACTGCAACAAATAAGCTCTGTCCCTTAGTAGTTTTCTTGCGACTCAGTAAACTATTTGACTTTGGTGAGTCTTTGGATTTGCCAAGAAGAGATGCCTAC